GATCTTCTTTACGTGATCAGCAGTAGAATATCCTTTGTCAAGAACTTTCAGCCCAACAACAAGAATCTGGAATCTTGAGAACATTACTTCTATGGATTCATTGTCTTCCATCTTGAATGCTTCATATTTCTGAATAAGCGCAAGGGCCTTGGTTTATTTGACTTGTATGTTGCCTTCATGCATCATTCTCAGAGAGTAAAACATGTTTTGGCTGTCTCTCTATTTGAGATCTTCTTATATTCTGAGTATGAGATGGCACTAAGAAGTATTGTTCTGGCTTTATGATGGTTTCTGAAATCACGTTTTTGCTGGTCAGACATCCTTTTTCTATCTATCTTCTGACCACTTTCATCCACAATATGTGTGTATCCATCAATTACCATGTCCTATAGATCAGCATCATGAGCCAGAAAGGAGCTCTCAATTCTATCTTTCCAGAAGTCAAAATTTTCTCCATCAAAGAATGGAGGTTTGCCGCTAATTCTGTCCTTGTCCTCGTGATAGTCATTGCTGATATTTTGGCTTGGTCCCACCATAGTGTTTTTCTCAAGCTTGGATCTTGTACTGACACGGTTAAGTGTATGAACTTAGAACCAGGCGCTCTGATGCCAATTGAAGAAGTGAAAAACACAAAAAGGGGGGGTTGAATTGAAACTTAAAAACAAAAGCAGTAGACACGATATTTTTATCCTGGTTTGTTTGATCTCAAACTACTCCAGTCCATCCGCCAAGGTGATTTCGCCTCTCTCCAACGAGGACTTAATTCACTAATCAAAACTGATTACAATACTACTTTGACAACTGCCAAAGTCTTCTTGAGTACAACCACAACCCGGTTTATCTCAAGGAAAACTAGCTTAATCAAAAGAAAATGATATACTGTGTACTGTTGTTTTTCGTTACAAAAATTGTATCACTACTGTGATATATTACACAATTTGAGCGTATAAGTGAATATGAAAGATTGCAGCGTTTAAGATGTATGAGCAGTAATATATCAGAAATCGTAAACGATTTGTCCTTTAAGCTTGTTTATATAGGCGTGGAAATCTTGTCCAACATAAAGTGTGATAATGGACACTCAATACTATTTCCATATTGAGAAGATTCTTGTCTGAATGAAGTCGTTGCATATGATACTGTCTTAATTGAAAAGTAACGCTTCAGAACTAGAATCTTGCATGCTGCTTTTACTTCAGAACATTGATTACTTAGAGATGTGAGGATCTGATGGTATATTAGACTTCTATTCAGAATCAGAGTATCCTTTACTTTAGCGTAGATTCTGATCATCATTCTTCAGAACATTCTGATTGCCTTAGCTTGAAAGCTTCTGTAGCTTAACTTCTGATGTTGTTTCAGACAGAACTTCTGCATACAAAATAACACAAATTTAGAGTGCATATTTGTTCTTTGTGTTTGTTATCATCAAAACTATAATTAAGGGTTGTAGAATCAAACTATGTTCTAACACGATAGTCTCTTTGATGAGGCGAGTGATTGCGTTTTCTGTCGAGCGCAATCTCTAGTTTTCCTCGCGTTGGTTGACGACTGCGAGGTTATGGTGAAGGGCTGCGTGAGACACGTCGTTTGTATCTCTGAGGAGGAGATCTTGAATTCTTCTTTACCAAGGTCTCGATCTTATTATTCTGACGGAGGGTCAGGGCATTGGTTTGGTTCAAGGCAGCGAGCAGGGCTGCCATGGAAGGATCGGCACTGGCCGACACTAGGACTGGTTGAGGAACAATCAGTGCTTCTTCTTTGAATTGTCAGCTCCCAAGAAATGGATGTCATCGTCGGCCTCGACGAAGGAGGGAGGTGTCGTGCATCCGTCTCGTTTAATAGGGATGTCCTCAAGAAAAGGGCATCCGTTATCATTGTAAGCTTTAGGAACGGGGGAGATGCAGTTTTTCCGGTGAGATGATCGTCCTCGTGATCGGCCATGATTGGAATCTGGTGATGTTTGCTTTTATCTCCGGTTTCTGGAGAAAAGGACGGTGAAGACAGTTTTCTACAGACGGTGCCACTGATCTTACTGGTTGATCAGAATCGATTGATTAGAACTTATAGGAGCCGATAACTTTGTCTGCTAGGCTGGAAAATAAGAAGGAGAGGTGTACCTGCAAGGCACTCCGAAGATCAAGTAAGAAAGGATGCAAAGAGATACAATGACGAGATTAGGGTTTTTCGAGTGAATATTGAATACTCGCCCCTCACAAGTGTGAGGGTTTATATAGTGACCCGACGCCTGACCATTGGTTCCTATTTTTAGGCCTAGATATGTGGTTCCTCAAAAACAGGTAATTGCGATGAACTAGCCGTTGTGACGGACAGAGGTGCTCGTAACTAACCGTTATAACGGACAGATAAGTGTTTGACGGGAAGGCGTAACTTCTTATCGTTCTTGGGTGGCTATCCTCGTGCGGTTGGATAGGATGAGAAATAGATTAATAGTGTATCAATAATATTGCTAACAATGACATTATGAGCGATTTTCTCCCCAAAACAGATTTGGTAAATGCACGTTGCACAATTCTAGCTTTCCAACTTTCTTTAATAATTATGAAAATTTGTTTTTATTCCTATAAAACTAATATATGTTTTTAAGTTATATTAGCCCACACTCTAAAATCATAAACTTAAAAACATATATTAGTTTTATAGGAATAAAAATAAATTTTCATAATTATTAAAGAAAGTTGGAAAGCTAGAATTGTGCAACGTGCATTTACCAAATCTGTTTTGGGGAGAAAATCGCTCATAATGTCATTGTTAGCAATATTATTGATACACTATTATTGATACTAATAGTTTATAGGTGTTGGAATAAATCTAAACTTAAGCACATGTTAGTAGACTCGCTTTGGCTTAGTTGGATCCTTCTGATCACTTGTAATCTCTGTCTTTTGTTTTAATAAAATATATTTTGATTAATTTTTTTTTAATTATAAACATATTTAACCAATCATGTAATACTACTTATTTTTTAAAAAAAGTAAATTATGCATGTGTGTTGTTTAGAAATGCTAAATTTATATATCATATATCAATCCTTCAATAAAAAATGTTTTAATCCAATTAATTAACGAGTTGATAGGATTAAGTGTAATGACCAATTGAGTAAAAAATAGAGTTGAACAATTAACTAAAAAAATGTTTCGATGTGTCATTGAATAAAAAAAAGATTATATTAATTCAAAAGTCAAAGGAAGTTACACGGCGATCCAACCATCAAAGACCATAAAACGAAATAAGAAGGAAATTAAAAAATCATAAGTATAGTTATGTGTGTCCTAAATTTTCTACTATATCAATCTTATAGTTTGGATGTGTCATTATTTCTATGTAAAATAGGAGGATATAAATAGAAAAAAAAGAAAATCATAACTAATAACAAGCTAATCGCCACCTCAAAACAGATAAATATAATTTTATTTTGACAAGAAATTACATTTATAATTTGTTTTCTCCTATATTTGGATTCTTATATTGATACAAATAAAATTCACATATTTTAGAGTGTGAGTTGAGGTAGACACTAAGAAAATTGTAACGGTAAGAATTAACACCACCATTCAACTTATTTGTTGTAATTATATCTCGTCTTCTATACTTTGTATATAAACCCCTTCACCAACCTTGTATCATTTCACAAATCTCTCTAAGTATATCTATTTATAAATCAGTCAAATGTTTATCTGTTTTTTGATAATAAAATGAAATTTTCATGTTTATATGTGTTTTTGTTAATAAATGTAGGTTGGTTTTCTACTGACTACACCATTACTTGGGAGATTCGCAGATATTTTCATTTTTGTTAATCCTATAATTAGGGTGTTCAATGTTGAAGTTCTAGCAAATGTTAGGGTCATATATTGTATATTCCACTTAGATATTATTTTACATGTTAAGAAGAAATGTGCAATCATTGCAATTTGCGGAATCGTTTTTCCAATGGTGATGGGACCGACTTTATACACTTTGCATCAAAAAGTTTATGCCTATGTCGATGGACCTCCACTTGAAGAAACAACAATGAATGCTTATTTAGTATGGACTTTGGTTCTTACTGTCACTGATTTTCGTGTTGCAGCTCATACCCTTTCTGAGTTGAAGCTTATTTATACTGATCTTGGTAACTCATGCCCTTTATGAGTTGAAGCTTCTTTATACTGGTCTAGGTAAGGCTGCATTAACCGCATCTATGATCAGTGACACATATGCTTGGATTTTATACACATTATTTGTTCTGTATTCAATTAACGGTGTAACGGAAATATACTCAGTGTTAAGCACCATTTTCTATCATTGCATCTTTGTGGTGCGTCCTATTGTTGTAAAAGTCATCGATCACAAGATGGATAGGAATGAATGGAATGAAGGCCAATTTTTCTATGTGATTATGTTTGTGCACACATAACAAATGTTCTTGGCACACATGACATTTTTGCCGACATGGTAGCGTCATACATTGACGATTTTGGCAGCGCAATATTGGCACCACTGTTCTCTAGTGGCAGTGGAATGAGACTCATGGTGAAAAGTATCTTCTACCAACCAATTTGGTCATAAACGCTTCTGGTTATATTATTGTTGTGTGTTCCAAAGATTTTAAGCACTTTGTTTGCCACATTCTTTTTTGGCATACCATCTAAAGATGGTTTTGCTCTAGGATTGCTTCTCAATACAAAGGGTCACATTGCATTGATAATGCTCAACACTGCTTGGGATAGATCAGTACTAATTTACTTCAAACTTTTTATTTACTTTATTTCAATTGCTCATAAATCAAAATGATAGCAATTTAACCTCTGCAGTCCTTTTAATGACTGTAGTTGTGTCTCCAGCCATCAATGCCATCTACAAGCCTAGAAAGAGATTTGAGCAGAACAAACTAAATAGTATACAAAAGTTAAGGCTTGATGCAGAGCTCAGGGTTCTAGCATTTCTTCACAATAATCGCCAGGCCACAGGGGTTATCAGTCTCATTTAAACTTTCAATGCCACTAGACTTTCACCTATACATGTTTTTGCACTTTACTCAGTTGAACTCACAAGTTGAACTCACAGGACGTGCGGCTACAGTCGTCGTTGCTCATATAGAGAATCTTAATAGCCAACCCGGAGCACAAAATCTTACAAGAACCCAGGAAGAGCTAGAAAACATTAAGAACACCTTTGAAGAATTTGGATATGCACATGATGCTATCAAAGTTCAAACCTTAAATGTCGTGTCAGCCTATGCAACCGTTCACGAGGACATATATAACACGGCTAATGAAAAGCGCACAAGCTTGATTATCCTTCCATTCCACAAACAACTAAGTTCAGAAGGAGTACTTGAAACAACCAATGCCACATACAAAGATATAAACATGAATGTGATGCAAAGTGCACCTTGCTCTGTGGGAATCTATGTTGACTGTGATCTTGGGTCATTACCGAAAATGAACTTTCATATTCTTATGATTTTTGTTGGAGGTCTTGACGACCGTGAAGCGTTAGTTGTTGTATAGAGGATGGCAGCGCACCCAGGAACCCATTTATCAGTCGTTTGGATGCTCCTGTTTGATGAATTTGCAGAAGTAGACACCTCAAGTCATACTCAAGCACAAGGCATACTATTTGTTGTAATGGATTGTGAGAAGCATAAGGAGTTAGACGATAAGTGTGAATTCATTTAGACTGACAGCAGTGAATAATGATTCTATAACCTATTCAGAGGTTGATGTCCATTCATGCGAAGATATTCCCACAGTCCTCAATGAGCTAGACAAATTTGGTTGCGATTTATACATGATTGGATAGGGGAATCGTAGAAACTCTCAGGTCTTTTCTAGTTGATTGGAATGGTACAACTGTCTAGAACTTGGAGTTATAGGATATTTTGGCATCACAAAATTGTGGTTCAGGCTCATCTGTGCTAGTCGTGCAACAATATGGGTATGGAGAAATGGTTTTGGGAAAGCAATCCAACAATGTGACCACTAATAGCGATGGTTTTAAGTCACTTGTAGTGAAGACATAATAAGAATAACAGTTAAAGAGCTGACCTGCACACTGTGAAAGGCTGGCTTGTTTTGTATTTAGATCTGGTACCCCGAGAGTTGATTAGAGGATGCTTCCACTGTTCCATTTTGGTTGCCTATAATGGTATACATTTATCTCTAATAACATGAAAAGAAAAGCAATTATGTCTGTTTGGAAAAAAATTGTTCTAGCGGTAAGATTCTCTCTTCATTGAGAATGTAATGCATATAAAAATAATTGCCTCAAAATTCCAAGTCAATCTAAAGGTTACAATTACCATATTGTAATCACATTTCGATTCTATAATAGTTACAACCACTGAATTTTGATTCAATAAATAAAATTGACTTGCGTCAGTCATATATGTGAAGATAACTAGTTTTTTTTTACAATTTTGTCGTGCTGAAACTTGTGAGCAGTGGGTAGTAGGGTTTTATCAAACAATCAAAAACTAAGCTCAAGAATCTTTCTTTTTAAACCATTTCCACATGAAAAATACAACATTATTATAGTTCAACTAGCATGAAAAAGTGAAAAACAACATCATTGGAACAAAAGATAATAGTTCTAGGTGATACTTGTTTTTAAATGAAAAAAATGGAGTAAAACTTACTAACTAGAATATTTACAATTTTTTCTTCATATTGATGATTCAGTCAGAAGCTTTCTTTCTTAGTAAGCCATGCACATTGAGCTCATTGATCTTAGCAGCAAGTATGAAGTCATTCTCTGTCAGCCCACCTACATGAACATAGATCACTTCAAATGATGTCCTATTATGAATATCATACGTAATCCCGCCATTCTCATATACAAGCAAAAATAACTACTTTCACTAATTAAGAAAATTAGTTAATCTCATTTTAAGTTTTAAAAGTACAAAAAAGTAGTGGTATTTTCTAAATTGTCCCTCGTGGGAACTTATTCTATAAGAATATAAGAATAAAATGTCTCTTGAAAAATTAAATATAAATTAATTGAAAGATAATTATGAAATAATAAAATTAAATATGATAAAAGTAGTTAATTTTTATTGATATTTGAGATCAACAAACATGACAAAAAATTTTCTACTTATACTTGAAACCGAAGGGAGTTCAATGAATAATTAGGTTCAGCCAAAAAAGAACAAATGCTCAGTAGAAACACATGAAAAATAATATTAAACAATAAATGAAATTCTGGGAAGAGTTAAGCACAAAAATGAAAGGACTGTTCAACGGTGTTGTTAATAGTGGATCGTGAAAATATCTTATCACCAAAAAACCGATATGAGAAATATCGGATATCATAGCGGACAAATAGCGGAAACCGCATAGCAGTTAAAATAAATAATTATATATAAAATAAAACATGTCACACATATAAAATCTACTAACATAAACAAAAATCAAAAAAGTTTTATAACATTAAACTGAAAATCTCAAATTCTAACAACCAAGTAGTTCAAACTTCAAAATCAAAATGATTTAAAACTAGAAATTAAATAGTTCAAACTTCAAAATAATTAGATCTTTATCATTAATAGTTCTTCTAAGCATAACTAATGATAAAGATCTAATTATTTTCGCTTTCCCCAACATAATCATTATCCTCATTTTCAAAATGTGAAGAATGAATAAAGTGAAAAGAAAGTGTATGGTGATGGAGACACTCTGACTCCTATAAATAATCACACCAACTCGTTAACATTACACCTCTTCACATTCTCTTTATTCTATTTTCGAGACTAACAATCAGAGTATGTTAGTCACACACCTCTTCACATTTCCACTTTATTAATACTCCACCTCTTCATGTTTCCACTTTATTACTGTCCACCTCACATTCTACTTTATTATTGTGCACCTCTTCACAACCTACTTTTTGATTCCACCTCTTCATATTCTATATTTTAAATATTTTTTAACATGACTTATTATAAAAATGATCATAATAATATTAATTCTGATATCAAATTCAAAACTGATATACCGGTATACGGGAAAACAGCCGATATGTTGAGCGTAGCAAAATTAAAATGAATATCATCTTTCGTATCGGATAGCCAAATTCTGATATGAAAAACTGGTATATTGGCGATATAATCGATATTTAACAACACTGATGTTCAAGCCTGAATAAGCCAAAAAATGACCATTAATCACAAATGGTTAACCTCTTTTAATCAAATGTAATATATAGTACTACTACTATTATCAATGCAATTAAGTCTAATACGAAGCTAAATTCACATTTTTTAAGATAAACTGATAGAAAATAGATCAAAACGCTCTAACTAAGGTATATTATACACACTACTATTCTTCGGATAATATTCTTGTTACTTGTTACTATGCAGCAGTGCCAATGTGGTAGATTTACAAGTAAATGATAAAGTCTGAAAATGAAAAAGGTAACATAAAGTATTCAATAGACCCTTCACCATACCTTACTATTCTATTCTCTACTTATTTTCCTCCTCTATCTTTTCCCCATCCCCTTTCAAATACCTACACGGATAAGCTTTATCTCCTGACACCCCCTTTCATTTCCTTACATAAATAACTCAACTTCCCTTGATTGCATCACATGTAACCTGTTACATCACTTTATTCGGTTCGCCTTGATTTCCTCTCTGAGGTTTCCTAATGCATATGTTATTAACAGGTGGTTTTGTAACACAATCACATATCTATACACAACAACCAAACCTTACCCCCTAAGTGAGGCCGGCTAGATGGATCAAACAACACCATAACGTTCTACCATATATCATATCTCTAGCTTAATCATATATGTATATAAGTTATAAAAACTGAAATTGCAATAGCTATGGTATGAAGCAACAAAATGACAATGTGATTAACCAATTAGCTGTTTATTTAAGAGACCTAACAAAATATACACATAAATTCTTTCCTAGTATTTTCCCTCAAGTAAATAATGCAAAGAATGAATAAACAATGCATACCTACAGAATGAGTCCAAATCTCTATAGTAACATTATTCCAGCCAACAAGGTGAAGATCAGGATGATGACCTGCATTATAACATTTTTTATTGTAATATCAAATAAAAAATACATAAAAATATACAACAAAAAAAAAAGAAGAAGAAAACAATACCTTGAGCTTCAGCAAGATCAGCTATAATTCTGAAAAATTCTAATCCTTTGTTAAAAGATTTAACTTTCCATGACCTAGTGAGTTTCAAAGAGCCTTCTTCATTTACCAAATTCCACTCCGAAACCTGATAATCTAAAAATTGAATAACAAAAAATACTGATAATCATTGAGATAACATAACATTATAGTAATAAGAACCTGTGGAATGAGAGAATACGCCGTATCTTGTGTCATAGGTTTCAATTCCTTGGAATCGCACGGCACGCATATTTTCGTTGATAGATCTAAATCTAAAAAAAAGTGATGAAAATTTGAAGCGTTTAATTCGTGAAAGAAATAAAAATCGAAAGATGAAGTTAGTTAGAGGTAGACGCAATCACCATTGGAAGGTTTGGTGGAAGTGGAAAATGATGAAAATGGGAGTTGATTGTTGTGTTGCTTGTTGGAATTCATTGATCTGAAATGGATTTCGGTAAGAGTGATGATGAATGGAAATGGGAGAAAGAGAGAATTGGAAGAAATGAATTTTACCGTGTTGATGGAAGTGTGGCGGAGAGAGGAAGTAGAGGGTGGCGAAGGTTGAGGAGAACTCGGTTCATTGCATTCAACCTTGGCATTTTTTGTGTCGCAATTTACAATTAAATTATCTATTCATTTTCCCCCTGGTATGACTTAATTACATATACTTGCTCCTATCATATACGTTAGTTTTGAAAAATAAAAATTCCCATATTATGTTATTATTTTTTAGATTTAATAGCCATTTACTCCTGTCATCTAGACCTCTTTTGAAATAGCATATGTAGGAAGCTGAGTATATTGTTGGCACATTTGCCTATTGTCAAACAATTTGATTACACTCTTTGTTTGATGAAGGAGTTGAAATATGAAGTGAAGAAGTCATTGAAGCTCATGATTGATAATAAATCGATCATGAATTTAAAGGTTAATAGCTAATTTACTCCTATCATATAGGTAAATTTTGAAAAATAAAAATTCTCCTGTTATGTTATTATTTTTTAGGGTTAATAGTCATTTATCCCTTGCTATCTAGGCCTCTTTCGAAATAACATATGTAAAAGTAGGGAGTTAAATCCACACCCTTATGTTGCAAAGCCAACATCTATCCACTATACTTAGAGTAAGTACTTGTAATAAATTTGTATTTAATAGTTGTTATATTGTTCCTGCATCATAATTTTCACTTACATCATTAAATATAAATAAATTTTGATTAATACATATTATATAATGTATTTTTATGTAATTAATGAATAGTTTAACTAAATTATTATTACAATTATTATCTACATATTATATAATAAATATTTATTTTGAGATATTATATAATATATATGTACTATTATTGAATAAAAAAT